GATAATACAAGTTTTAGTGACACAACTTTAGAGCTTTGGAAAGTGAGGACTTGTGTTCATACCTTCGTAGGGAATACGGGTTCCTTTTCTTGGATTTCTGTGTGTATTTGTTTTGAATATATTTTAGTACATACGATAGTTTTTATTTAATTGGGGGGCAGAGATTAGAAATATGGTTTGTTCTTTACTGTAATTGGCCTATTGATCATCATTTAAGGTCTTTGACTCCTCTGTGACCGAACTCTACACATACTTTTGAAGAGCATACACGTTGGCTTTTGGCATGTCTACATGACTGTTCCTTTTGAATATCTTTGAGTATATATTCTAGTTTGTATTTTTAAATATTAATAATGTGTTTTCTTAATAATTGTGGTGGCCGTTTGAAAATTTTCACCGGTGGTAAAAAACTTAATTTAATTATCTTATTGTAGATGATCTTTAAATTTACTAGTTATGAAAAAAGGATACATATACTAGTTTTCAAACTCCTATTGACTTGGCGCAGAAATGGACGTGTCTTGGTGGCATCTTGCACCACTTCACCCCCAATGAATTCAAAGTAAGGCAATGTAGCTAAAGACTTTGGACTGGCTGTTAAGAAGAGTCTAATTGCAATGACACTGGTGTTGATGTAGACTTTGACTGGGACTGATATGAAGTTCAAGCTCTAGTATTAGTTATTGACCCAAAAACAAGTCCAGTGGCAATATCTTAGATGATGATGATGATGATAATGATAATGTTGCAATAGCTGGGCTAGACCTTCCTCAACATATTTTTTGTTCTAAGCAATTGGACGTTGAAGAACCTGAAGGAAGATGGTGCTAGTTTCAATGTAGATTGTGCTTTTACTACGAAAGTATTTCATTGTGGAATCAATATAACTATGAATTTTAGATGACACACAGAAGATTGAAAGTAGCGGCAATAAGTTGGTGTTTGAAGAGTGTAAAACTGCGGCAGACAAATGTAGACGTACAAGTGAAAGGAAAATGATGCAGAACAAGATTTTGTATATGTTATAGATGGCGTATCCAGTGCATGAGGTTCTCATCATTGCAAGATTTGAAGAGGGTTTGATGTATTCTGTCTAAATTTTGTAAGCAAATATACTACTTCCGCAACTCAAACTTGTGATCCAGGTCATAATGAAGCAACCTTATTGTTACGTCAATATTTAATATTTAATATATTATATAATATTGTTTATTATTATTATTATTATAGATTATTTTGTTAGAATAGGAATATAGTTATAAAAATTAGGATCTTAAGCTCGTACAATTGCAAATTGATCCAAGTCTCATGCTAATTTATAGGATCGGGATCCAGATCTTTTATATCCTGATCTGAATTGCAATTTTACCAATCCAAATAATTAGACTCGTTGGTGAGGTGCATTTTGTTATTGGGCTAACCCAATTCACATTTATTATTTCAAATTTTCAGCTGGGACCTTGCCCTAATTCCCCCATCTGCTCGGTCCAGGCAAGCAGGCAATGCTCAGTCTTAGCAAGCAGGTAAAGCTTGGTCTCTCTATCTATCTCTTTATCACTCACTCGCTGGCTTACCCATCCACCCACCCACCCACCCACACAGACACGCACACAATAAATCACAACCAGTTGCTGTGATTTTCTCTTGTTTGTGATTTTGATGCAGCAAAATTCTCAAATCTGCTGTAATTTGCAATTTTAAGTGAGAATCAACACCTTTTGATGTATTTCCAACAATAAGATAACAAGAAAAAGCATTATAATCAAAAATGAAACAAGAGTATATGAATTTCTAGGGCAAGAAACCCAAGGAAGATTGAAAGTCTAAATTTTCTGTAATAAGAATAATAAACAACTGCTACAAAGACTCATAAATGCAAAGAGTCTAAAGTGATAGTCGGAATTTGCATACATGCAAAGTGTCTAAAGTGAGTTAACAAGCTTGTATATATAAAAATTATATCAAGATCGTTTTTTATTACTTTTGGTTGTGGGGTTGGTGGGAGCAAGGGGATTTAGTTTTTTTAGGCCACAGAATCATTCTAATCACTTATTTCTTTGTCAATGTCGCTGAAACGGGCATTTTGCACCCCTGCTAGTCCATGTGAAAAGAATTGCATAGTACCTAAAACTGGTTTGCCACAAACATCCAAGATAATCGAAAATACATTACCACTGACCCTGAAAACCATGTACGCAAGCTACACACCCAACTACTGCCATGCTACTGATTCAAACAACAAATAAACAAGAGGTTGGCAGATTCCATAAGCTATTAATCTGACAGGCAATAAATGAGGCTAAACTTCAAGTTAATAACTTGTTAAACAATCTACTTTGGGAACCATTACCATTTTCCGATCATATTTTGGCTGTTCAGGAACTCAAAAACCATGAATAAATTAAATTTTATATTCTAATTTCCCAGCACACAAGCATGACGCTGCGGCGAACATCAGTTACCATTATTTGTCATTAAATAAGATATTCATACAAACTAAGGTCTGCTTAAAGAGATTCCCACCAATACTGAGACAAAGTAGAGAAATGCATTGTTCTTTCTTTATTCTCTTACAACTGACTTAAAGAACTCATATACCTTAATCCTATTGAATAGGGGAAAGATAGTTTGAAGAATCTTGTTGAATAGGGGAAACTTTATTAATCACCCCTTTTTTGAAAAACTCCTCAGACACCCTAATCAAATCTTCATTCATTTCATCCTAACAAACCTAATATATTGCCATGGTGAATCCATCCGGATCTGGTGCCTTTTTTCTACTACAGTAAAAAATAGCTCTCTTCACGTTCTCCATCTGAACAGGCCTTTCTATCCACTCTGCAACCCTTTCATCTATAAGACTCCATTCAGGATCCCTTAACTTAAATCTAGCACCCTCTTGATCCGATCCGAATAAAGCTTGTCAAAAAACCTAATAATTTCCCACTCAATACTACCATCATCCTCAATTATCGACCCATCATCAAGCTCCATTCGCCGCCTTATGAAAAAATTTAGTATTATTATCTCTTTCTTTTACCCACTAAGCTCTCTCCTCTCGTTTTAACGCTTCATCGAAACCTCCTCCTTCTTCAACCTTATTCACCTCATCAATCCTATCCAAAATAATTCTTTATGCTTCTCGAATGTCCCAACATACCTCTTTATTCCACTTTTTCAATCTATGTTTTATTATCTCAAGTTTGTTCATAAATCTAAATTCTTGTCACCCCAGTACCCTTTCCTCTCCCCACCATTATCTTATTCTTTCCTTCAACTCTTTATGTTCCACTCACATATTCTCAGACCTAAACGGACAAGGACCTCATTTAAACTTGGTATCAACAAGAACAATAGGACAATGCCTTCTGTCTCATCCCAGGAAAACAATCAACCCATCCTATAGAGTACAAAAATCTATCCAACTTTTTACACATCTTAACTGTCCTACCATTAGATCATGTAAACACTCCATTTGCCAAAGGGGGACCTAACAAAAGAAGTAAACATGAAGTGTTGCGAAAGACTGGGATGGGAAGCAAAACAGAATGTATCGGATTTGTACTCGACAAAACAGAAAGTATCATAGTACGTTGTCCTTCCTTGAAAATGGAACTTTCATGCTGGANCGAAAGATTGGGATGGGAAGCAAAACAGAATGTATCGGATTTGTACTCGACAAAACAGAAAGTATCATAGTACGTTGTCCTTCCTTGAAAATGGAACTTTCATGCTGGAGCAAGAAGTAGCATCCCTAAGCTCCGGTTTCCCTAATAAAAGAATCAAAATCTTTCAATACTTTTTGTTGTTCTCCCCCCATTCATCCTCGCCCTTGGATACCTTGTAACATTAAAATATCCCCCTATACACCATCCATGACCACACACCCCATATAGCCCTACTAATTTTTCCCACAATGAGGCCCTAATCCTAGGCTTGTTAGTCCCATAAATCCCAATAAACCACCAGCCATATCCCTCTCCGCTTAACTCTAATTGAAACAGTAAATTCCCACTCAAGAGTTTCTTCCATGCTTATAGATTTGTTGTCCCAAATGATGACAATACCACGTGTACTCCTACAAAAAATAGAACAACCCAGTTCTAGAACCTAGACCAAAAACATTACTAATGACTCTTATCAATGACCTCCAACTTTGTTTCTTGTAAAGTAACTATATTTGTACCAATTCTTCTCAAAAACTCCTCTATTGAATACCTTTTTGCACACGACCTAATCCTCTGACATTCCAAATTAACAATCTTTATAACAAGCTATATAGATCCCTCCCCCACCTTTCTTACAACTATCACCCTCATAATTTATCCTCAACTCTAAATTTTTTTAACTCTCCCACTGCCTTTCTCTTCCTCTCATTTCTACATTCATTTTTTTGCTTCCCTTGTTTTTTTGATGGAACTAGAGACAAATCCATTTTATATAAAAAATTCTTTAACACAACCCATTTTTCCTCGTCCGACAGAACATTTATTATATTATCCCTACATCTATCATCTATTCCCTCTCTATTTCTTTCACCCTTAAAAGCTCACTATTTTCCCCCCAGTTGTCACGGCATTACAGTTCACCCTCAAAGCTCAGTACATTCATTTTTTTTGCCCCACCCCTTTTTTTATTTGATGGAACTAGAGACAAATCCATTTTATGTAAAAAATTCTTTAAAACAACCCATTTTCCCTCATCCATCAAAACACATTCATTATTATCCCTACCTCCTTCCTCTATTCCCTCTTTACACCTTTCACCCTCAAAGCTCACTATAGCTCTAGTTGTTAGTACATCAGAGTTCATTGGACCAACATTAATTATGGGATATCTATCATCAATTTTGAATATCTTGGATCACTGGTAGTAATAAGTGGAGCACCTAATAAACTTGAACTAGGTTCACCCAGATACCCCAAATATCTATTCTCCCCACGGACCTAAATTTGCTACATCACAGTTTGTGGAAACCAATTCTTTCCTATACCCATCCTTCACTGAATATAACATTGCCATTTTCTCACTCTATTCCATGTCATCCCAGCAACACAATTAGACCCAGAACCAATACGGATATTGACACTCCCACCCTTGAAAAATTAAAATCACCAAAATGAACACCGACATTGATACGCCCGTCCCTAGAAAAAAGAACATCCCCAGAAGAAACCATCAGTGGGATTTTTTGGGAAACATTACCTTCTAAAGTACGAGGAAAAGCATTGCAAATTACCTTAGATTCGTGATGGAGTATCATATTACCTTCTTCTTGAACAGATATCAACTTATCGTCGGTAAACGTTCTCGCAATATCACCATATACCTCATTAGTCTGTATCTTTCTCACGTCATCAATATCACAACAATATAATGAATCCTCCAAACTCTTCTCCAACTCAGCATTGTCATACCACTCTCTCGCGGCAAGCATTGCATTGCTGCAATCTTTGTAACCAAACCAAAGTAAGACTTATGTCCCAATCATTTTAGGTCGGCTATATGAGTCCGTCTTTGCCATTCATTTCAATCATGTGCTATACACTCATTTAAATTAAATATTTTTGTATTATTTTTTTCAATGTTAATTTAGGTATACCCTTACTTCTAGTACTATTATGAGAAATCCTATAACTTTTTCGAACTAGTGCCTGAGCTACTTCTACCATTTCTCTTATAGGATTATTTCGTATTCTATGCTTTCTAGCTTTTTCACACATCTACCTTAACATTCTCATTTTCGCTACTCATTTTGTCACTATGTTGTTTCCTAGTAACCCAATATTTTGCCCCATACAACATTAATATCCTTATAGCTGTTTGATAAAACTTACCTTTCAATTTTATTGGTATCTTTCTATCATCTAATATGCCAGAGGTTTTTCTCCACTTAAGTCAACTGGCGTTAATTCTATGAGTTACATCATCTCCAATCTCTTCATCATTTTTAATGATTGATCCTAGAATATTTAAATCGTTTACTCATTGGTATTTCTTGATTTTCAATCTTAACTTTTTTACTATGTCTACTTCTATTATTAAAATTGCATTGCATATATTCAGTTTTACTCATACTTATTTTAAACCCTTTAGACTCGAATGTCTTTATCCAAATTTTTAGCTTATTGTTAATCCCCCTTCGAGTTTCATCTACTAATACAATATCATTTGTAAATAGTATATGTCGTGGGACATCATCTTGAATGTGCCTAGTGAAGTAGGTATGGACTTACAACCAATCCTTAGTGTAATCCCCCCGTGATTGGAAATTCTTTACTCTTTCTTACGGAAGATCTAATTGTAGTTATAGCTCTGTCATACATATCATTTATCACCTCAATATATCTATTCATCACTCTTTTTCTCTCAAGCACCCTACATATTATATTTCTAGACATTTTATCATACACCTTTTCTAAATTTATAAATACCATATGGAGATTTTTCTATGAGTGTCCTCAATAAATATATAGCTTCTATAATTGATCTATTAGGCATAAACCCAAACTGATTTTCCGAGACTATAGTCTCAACTCTTAGGCGACGTTCAATAACTATTTTCCATAGTTTCATTGTATGACTTATCAATTTTATCCCTCTATAATTATTATAATTTTGAATATCTCTTTTGTTTTTGTAGATAGGTACTAAAATACTCTTTCTCCATTCATTATGCATTTTTTTAGTACCAATAATTCTATTGAATAATTTCGTTAGCCACAACACTCCATTCCCTAAGCACTTTCAAACTTCAATTGGAATCTCATCCGGTCCTAAAGCCTTGCTTAATTTCATTTTCTTCAATGCAAATTCTACCTACAAATTCTTTATCTTACAAAAGAATGTTTTATAAATCCTACCATTTTCTATCTCTTCTAAATTTTCTAATTGATTTTTATTTAGTAGTTTTCTTAAAATAGTCTTTCGTCTCTGAGTCTTCGCCCTTGATGCACTTAACTTGGTTAAAGTCTATTGTTTTCTTTTCTCTAATTTTAGCTAGTTTATAAATGTCTTTTTCTCTCTCTTTACTATCTAGTTTTTTGTACAATTCATTGTAAGCTTTTAACTTGGCATATCTAACTATCTTTTTTACTTCCTTATTTGCTAATTTATATCTTTAGAAGTTCTTGCAACAATCTTCTTCATCTTCTGAAAACAAATTTATGTGTCTCTGTCCGTCCATACTATTGAAACGAACCTCAAAATCTTCCCTCTAACTCTGCCAACCATCGCAGATCTCCTCTCCAACTATAGCCCCTTTTTCACTACTTCCTTTGCCCATTGTCAACTTTGCCTTGGCTAAGGAGATCCTATCAGAAGCTCCACTCCCCCCTTTGCTCGACGATTAGCTTCAGCAACCTTGACCATCAGTTTTCGACTTTGAGGAGAGCCTTTGTTTCATCTATGGAGAGACCCCCCTTTGCCTGTGTGAGAAAGCCCTATCGTTCGAGCTGTCCCCAACAAACAAATGTTTGTGGACCAGGCCTCTACAATTCTGTAAAACCCTCTTAAATTAAAACGGCACACCTTACCTAGCCCATTAGTAAAAACATTTGTTTCTAGCCCATTTGTTTCTTTATCTCAGCCCCACCTTCCTTTATTAATAAAACCCTTCGTGATCCATCTCCTCAGCCTTATCCTTAATTAACTCAGATTTCGAATTCAAATTACAGTTTATATTTGAATTATCCTTATCAAATATTTTCTGTAGGAAATTAGCAAGATTAATGGCACTAATCAAGTCATCAGAATTTTTTTCAATCAAACCAAATCTTTGCATTTATTATGGCCTTGTCTTTCTCCTGTTGACAAGTAATCCCCCTTTGTTTGTAGCTCATTTTTGGCCAATTGATTTTCCAATATGCTAGTTTAAACAACTCTCATCTTCAACCTTTCACCCAATGCACAAAATCTCCGTACTACCTTCGCCTTGTAGTATTCCTTTCTCCTTTCAACTGGACATTCTTGTTTTCTTCAACATTCCTAGAAAAAAAATGTCTTTGTCTACTTGGAAAGGTTGTAGATGAATCTTTATTTTTAAAGCCTGTACTAAGCATGCCTGGGAGTACACAAACGAACTTGCTTTAACACATACCACAACACACCTCCATTTAACCTCTTCTTTAAGCGTATTTTCATCCCCGTTAACATTTGCAGGAGTATTTTCCTTATGCATCTCAGCCCATGCCCCATTTCCTTGCTCTTTGACTCTACATTTTGATACCACCATCAGACTTTGATTTTCTTCTTCTTGTGTCATAGTATTCCTTCCACCTGAACGAGCATCCTCCAGTAATCCTCTAAACCCTTTTCATCCAATGCCTTGGGAGCCTTGGGGAATAATCAAACCCTTTCTTTTACCATTATTCATCATTTGTGTAATCATGGCAAACTCCCCAAACCTGCTATTTTTCAATTCCATCCACATACAATATTCATCCCTCCTAAACTTTCTAAAGAAAATATCTTGTCGATTCCTGGATATAGCTTTAGAAAACATCTCCTTCAACCATCTCACACAACTTCTATTCACTAAGCATGAGAAATATCCTAACCGATTCCATTCCGTTATGCGAATAAGTTCACCATGCAAACCTTCAAACTTGACTTTAAAATGCTTATGATCAATCGTAATCTCCATCCTCTTTCTTTCTTGATTCTCACAATTTCAACAATGTTGGTTGTGGATTATAAAGGTTTTGGAAAGGGAAGTAAAGGAAGTACTGTTTGGGGATGTGCTTTCTATGCAATAATTTGGGTGATTTGGTTGGGGAGAAATTCAAGAATCTTCGAAGATAAGTATGAAGAGTTTGATGGGGTTTGGAACCGAATTCACTCTTTTGCAACTCTTTTTTGTGCTTTGGTTTCAAAGGAATTTGCAAATATTCCGCTTTTTGAAATCTTGGTGAACTAGAAGGTGGCTTGTGATTGATTAGCTTGTTTTCTTGGTTTGGTTTTTTTTTTTTACCTTTTTATGTACTGCTTTTCGATGGTTTGTATTTAGGTTGGACTACTTACCCATCTCTGCTCTTCATTTTTTTACTTTTAATAAAATGGTTTTTTCTATAAAAATAAAGAGGAGGGGATTTTACATTTTTGCTTTGTTGATGATATAACAAAACTTCTCAAGATTTTCCATAACACAATCAATATTGCTCCAANCGGCACACCTTACCTAGCCCATTAGTAAAAACATTTGTTTCTAGCCCATTTGTTTCTTTATCTCAGCCCCACCTTCCTTTATTAATAAAACCCTTCGTGATCCATCTCCTCAGCCTTATCCTTAATTAACTCAGATTTCGAATTCAAATTACAGTTTATATTTGAATTATCCTTATCAAATATTTTCTGTAGGAAATTAGCAAGATTAATGGCACTAATCAAGTCATCAGAATTTTTTTCAATCAAACCAAATCNCCCTAGTTGCAAACACAACAGTCTAACCCCTCAGCCAAACCACGTCAGCCTACTGCCTCCCCCTTCCTCGGGGGGTGGGCAACATATCAAACATAGCCTACCCCATGCAACCATTACCCTCAAATTCACCATGTGCATGAATGTATCNAATCAAACCAAATCTTTGCATTTATTATGGCCTTGTCTTTCTCCTGTTGACAAGTAATCCCCCTTTGTTTGTAGCTCATTTTTGGCCAATTGATTTTCCAATATGCTAGTTTAAACAACTCTCATCTTCAACCTTTCACCCAATGCACAAAATCTCCGTACTACCTTCGNCTCAGTAGGGTTCCATTTTGGTTTGTCTCTCTTCCCTGCTATATAATATGTCATGCATGAATAGTTAGAAAGGTTGGAGATATGTGAATATGGAGAGAGAGACATGAATGAGTGGAAAGTTGAACAGTCGGAAACCTGGAGGTTACATGAGAAGTGGGAGTTATCAGTTAGTNCAACTGGACATTCTTGTTTTCTTCAACATTCCTAGAAAAAAAATGTCTTTGTCTACTTGGAAAGGTTGTAGATGAATCTTTATTTTTAAAGCCTGTACTAAGCATGCCTGGGAGTACACAAACGAACTTGCTTTAACACATACCACAACACACCTCCATTTNCATAAAAAAAGGGTGGAAGGACCAATCATAAGAAGCCAAGTAAGCATTTTCATGGCTATAAAACTCAAAAATTCAAAAATTTGGAATGAAAGATTGGAGACTTCTCAACACTACTACATTTAAATAGAATATAGAGATTCAGTTAATAGAAATCATGTTACTTACCNACTCAAAAATTCAAAAATTTGGAATGAAAGATTGGAGACTTCTCAACACTACTACATTTAAATAGAATATAGAGATTCAGTTAATAGAAATCATGTTACCTACTGGGAAAAAAAATACTGCATATCATTTTTACTTGCCAAAAGTTTACTTGTTATGTTTNTGTCATAGTATTCCTTCCACCTGAACGAGCATCCTCCAGTAATCCTCTAAACCCTTTTCATCCAATGCCTTGGGAGCCTTGGGGAATAATCAAACCCTTTCTTTTACCATTATTCATCATTTGTGTAATCATGGCAAACTCCCCAAACCTGCTATTTTTCAATTCCATCCACATACAATATTCATCCCTCCTAAACTTTCTAAAGAAAATATCTTGTCGATTCCTGGATATAGCTTTAGAAAANAGTATTGTTTTCTTTTGCAGAACCATGCTGGGTATGTGGCAAAATATAGTTGCTAAAAGGGCTGCCTCCAAGCCAAACCAAGGACTTGGTGAAGAGCATGGTGGAAATCCCAGTGAGGAGANTCGAAGATAAGTATGAAGAGTTTGATGGGGTTTGGAACCGAATTCACTCTTTTGCGACTCTTTTTTGTGCTTTGGTTTCAAAGGGATTTGCAAATATTCCGCTTTTTGAAATCTTGGTGAACTAGAAGGTGGCTTGTGATTGATTAGCTTGTTTTCTTGGTTTGGTTTTTTTTTTTTANACCAATTGTTGTTGCCCTTGCACTGTTTGGACATGGATATGCTGGGGCACAACTCCTGCGCGAATTTTTGCGTGGGCATTCTTCCCTTGCTTCTAAGGAGAGAATTTTGAAGGGACTCGACTGGCTCAAAACCTGAAACAAGGATTCTGTGGAGCTTGCGTTACGTAAGGAAGCTGAAAAGCAAGTCAATGCTTGCACATTAACAGCTTTAGGTAAACTCAAAACTGAGATAAACACACTGATAAGTGTGCTGATGGACAAGTCAACAGATCTGCTAGATGTTTATGAGGGAATGGCAAAACTTAGGAAGCAAATTCTGGATATGGAAGCTGAAGAGGATAAAAGCTGAAAATATCTTTGTTGTTTCTTTTGAACTACTATAATTTCAGTATAATGCAAACATGCTTTGGAAAATTCTCTCTTTTTGATATGTACTTTTGCTTAACTTGACTGCTTAGGAAAATTCTCTCTTTTTGATATGTACTTACTTATGACTGCTTAGGAAAATTCTCTTCATTCGATATGTACGTACTTATGACTGCTTATGTAATATTCTCTCTCCCCCTTTTTTGCTAAATTCTGTGTGTATTCATGAAGATCAGTTACAAAAATATTATAATTTGGGGTAACATTTTTTGGATGATCNCCTTTTTTGCTAAATTCTGTGTATTCATGAAGATCAGTTGCAAAAATATTATAATTTGGGGTAACATTTTTTGGATGATCTGATGTGAATACGCCCAATTTGGGGTTGTAAGATACAAGAGCGTGGAATGAAACTCCTACCGTAGAGGTGGAGTTTTGATCGTGGTAGTTGTGTTTCTATACAACAAGAACTACATTATTTATTAAACTCCTACCGTAGAGGTGGGTCTGGTGACAAACCGCTTCGACACAGAGACATGGGGAGCCAGACATCTGTTTGTCTCCAACCGCTCTCTAACGCTGTCAATGTAATGAGAAGTTCAAAGGGGATAAATCAGAAAATAATGCTGGAATTAATCAAAAGCATTACAAAGCATGTTTTTCATATGCCCATTCACTTCGGTGCACACAATTTGCTACAATTCTGACTTACGCTTGAATGGACATCCACATGACTATTCCTTCACTGAAACATCATACATGGCATGAGAAATTGAACTATGTAAACATAACTCAAATTGGAAAGTGAAGATACCCACTCTTTCCTCTAGAAAGAATGCTTGCTCTTGCTGAAACCAAGTAAAAAAATAAGTTGTAGCATCCTGTCTGATATTGGACCAACATATTAGATAGGATGCCACACATTTTGAAACTAGGATGACAATCGTGTTCGTTTTTATCCATATAACCTGTGAATAAAAAGTTTAACGCTTTGTTTTATATCTTAAATTTCATTATCATTAAATCGTACCTATGCTTATATTTTTTTTAATAAATTAAAGATTAACTTAATAAATATAATAATAAAAATCAATTAACATATCTTTTTTTTGCATAAAAATTAGTTCACTACTTGATAAAATAGAATAAAAAATGTATTTTATTCTTATAATAATACTTAAATGTGTTAATCGTATCAGTTTCACGTTGTTCATATTTGACATTATTCAAACCTATTTATTATTCGCGTTAATAGGTTGTGTCATATGTGGGTTCGTATCGAAAAATAATCAATCATAACCTACTAATTTCATGTCAATTTCAAGTCATGTTTTCATGGTTGTGTTAGAAATTACCACTCTTATTTGAAACACAGCCATATTTCTTATTGCAACAAATTCTTCACCGGTTTCCTTCTCCACGTTAAATGTTCTTGCCATGGTTTCATATGCCCGATACACATTTGAAAGCCTTTTTGTCTCTTATTACTTGGGGTTGAGATAACAATAGGTGAAGGCTTAGCAATTTGTGGCTGGTTTGTGGTTCTCAGACACTCAAAATAAGAATATATAAAGTCATCGTGAATAGAGGATGATGATGCACAAAACTGTCTCATGCAATATCAACAGTCGAGTGTGTAATAAGGTATATTTAATGGATAATTAATAAAACAATCAACGGAAAAAAGGTAAATACTGGGTCAACACACAGATATATAGTGGTTCGATCTAGATAACTTATTCCACTTCGAGAAACGGCTACAGTGGTCGGTAAACCTTTGTGGATGGAATAAAGTAAGAGAGAGGGAGAGACAAGGCTAGTTCCAAGAGTGGTACAATAACTAGCAGAGAGAAAGTGTGTAGAGAGGTATGGTGAGATCACTATCGACGAGTAAGGCAGTTAAGGGAATTGTAGACAGAATCAGGTGCTTAGGCTAATTCGGTGAAGCCCTGGGCAACACCTCGACAAATCCGAGCAAAGCCCGAGGCAACGCCATGACGAAGCCAAGGGCGACGCTCAAGGATCCTTATGGCAGTGCCAGAGGAGGCGAGCTAAGTAGCGCCAGATGAGGCAACAAAGGCGACGCCTAGCGTGCCCTAGGCAACGCCCATGGGGGTGGAGAGGCTGGCGGCGCCCATGGCACCTTTGGAGGCTACTTGGGCAAAGGAGGTGAACAACACGTGGGAGGTGGTGACACCGAATAGGCACTGGGTAGGGCGACACCAATCACAGGCGACGACGAAAAAGGTTGGCAGGCGACGCTCATAGCGTAGAAGGGTCTGTTGGCGACGCCTTGCAGGCGCATGGACATAGGCGACAAGTGGATTGGGCG